AGAAGGGGACAACAGAGGATGAGATGGTTGAATGGCATCACCAACTCAATGGACATGAGTTTGGGTGAACTCCGGGAGTTGGTGATGGACAGGGAGGCCTGGCATGCTGTGATTCATGGGGTAGCAAAGAGTTGGACACGACTAAGCAACTGAACTGAACTGAACTATGGGAAGGAAACCAGCAAAGGTCTCTTGGTACTCTGCATAGGAGGTCAGCCACACCTGAGGTTGCTTTTGATTCTGGTGTCCTCTCAGAAGAGGAGAGGAGATCAGTCCTGAGTGTTCATTGGAAGGATTGATGTTGAAGCTGAAACTCCCAATACTTTGGCCACCTGATGCAAATAGCTGACTCATTTGACAGGGAGGCCTGCCGTGTTGCAGTCCATGGGGTTTTAAAGAGTCAGACACGACTGAGTGACTGAACTGAACTGAACTGAACATGGCCCTCATAGAGCTCACAGTCTATGGGGGGAAACAAAATCATACAAGGACAGTAAATCCCAGTAAAAACTCTCATGGAGATAACACTGGCCACAGGTCAACCCACAGGAGAGTGCCTCCTTGAGGCCATAGTGTTAAGGAAGGTCTGAGTTTGGTGGGGGGGTAACAAGTGAGCTGAAATTTGAATAGGAGCTCCAGCTCCATGAGCATTCAGATGGGAGATGCATTCTAGACAGAACAATACATGCAAAACATGGAAGTAAGAGATGGCATGGTATGTGTGTGGTGTGGGCAAGACTTTGAATGAAATGACCCAGGGACAGAGGCTAGTTCTGCTGATGTCAGGCCATCAGCCCTGGTCCCATAGGACAGACTTAAGAGTAAGTCAGCCTGTCCTTGGAGCAGGGTGTCACAGGCATGATGTGATACAGCCAAGAGCCTGGCAAGCACAGGTCATAGCCCCAGTGGAATCCACTGTTATTAGGAGTAAATGAGATAGTGTACGTCAAGTACCTGGCTCAAAGCAAGCACTCAATAAATGGAAGCTATTATTGTTATTATTACTGAAGTGCATTGTTAGTGTCATGAGGGAACTGGCAGATGCTGTATGTGGAAGGGGCTCCAGAGAGGATCTGCTAGAGAACCGTTACATCTGAGCTAAGACTTTGCCGGGCTGGTTCTTTTTCTTTTGTGGGAAATGGACTCTGGAGAATCTGATGAAACCTGTGGACCTTCTCCCAAGAAAAAGACACATCTGTTCAGATGATGATTTGTGTATTATTTCAGGGACTTCCCAGACTCCTGGAGGCCTGTCTAGTCATGGAAACTGGTTGGACACAGCTGTTATTTGCCAAGCATGGCTGAGAAAAGAACCCACTCTTATCTCAGCTTATTATTCTAAGTGAAAAACCTCACCTCACATAATTTCTTTTTTTAAAATTTTTTAAAATTAATTTTTGTTGGAGTATAGTTACTTTACTAGGGAAGGGAATGGCAACCCACTCCAGTATTCTTGCCTGGAGCTCCCCAGGGACAGAGGAGTCTGGAGTCCATAGGGTCGCAAAGAGTCAGACACAACTGCCATGACTGAACACACACATAGTTGCTTTACGGTGTATTTCTGCTCTGCACCAAAGTGAATCACTTATATGTATACATTTATTCCTCCTTCCTTGGTGGCTCAGATGGTAAAGAAACTGCCTGCAATGCAGGAGACCCAGGTTCGATCCTTCGGTCAGGAAGATTCCTGGACAAGGAAATGGCTATCCACTCCAGTATTCTTGTCTGGAGAATACTGTGGACAGAGGAACCTGGCACGCCAGAGTCCATGGGGTTGAAAAGAGTTGGACACGACTGAGTGACTCACATTTTAACTTTATACATGTGTTCACTCTTTTTAAGGTTTCCTTCCTATTTAGATCGCCACAGAGCATTGAGTCGAGTTCCCTGTGCTGTAAAGCAGGTCCTCATTAGTTATTTTACACATGAAGGGAAGTGAAGTCATTCAGTCATGGCTGACTCTTTGCGACCATACGGACTGTAGCCTGCTAGGCTCCTTCGTCCATGAGATTTTCCAGGCAAGAATACTGGAGTGGGTTGCTGTTTCCTTCTCCAAGGGATCTTTCCAACCCAGGGATTGAATCCGGGTCTCCCACATTGCAGGCAGACTCTTTACCGTCTGAGCCACCAGGGACGTATTTTTGTCAGTCTAAATCTCCCAGTTCATTCACCCTTCTACATAATTTCAAATCTAAGAATCATCTGTGTGGTTTTAAAAAAATAATTAAATTAATTTATTTTTAAAATGAAGGATAATTGCTTTACAGTATTGTGTTGGTTCCTGCCGAACGTCAACATGACTCAGCCATAGGATGTATACCTACATCCCCTCCCTCTTAAATGCCATGTGCTTGGGACTTCCCAAGTGGGGCTTCCCTGGTGGCTCAGAGGTTAAAGTGTCTGCCTGCAATTCGGGAGACCAGAGTTCGATCCCTGGGTCGAGAAGATGCCCTAGAGAAGAAAATTGAAACCTACTTCAGTATTCTTGCCTAGAGAATCCCATGGACAGAGGAGCCTTGTACTGTACAGTCCATGGGGTCCCAGAGAGTTGGACATGACTGAGTGACTTCACATTTTAACTTTGGGACTTCCCTGGTGATTCAGTGGTTGACTGCCTTCAAATGCAAGGAGTACAGATTTGATCCCTGGTTGGGTAACTAGGGTCCCACATGCTGTATAATACAGTTAAAAAAAACACAACTATGAGGCAAAAAATAAAATAAATTAAAATACCTAGTGGCATGCTGCCAGGTGGTGGAGGAGGGAGTCCCGTGAAGGGGCCATTCTAATCGTCCAGGAAGAAAACGGGGCTGGCTTCAGGGACACGCATCCTGTGCAGTCACGTGGGACCCTCCCGGTGCTTATTCTTATGTTCTGCTGTGTCTTCATTCCTAATGAGCCATAAGGAGCCTTGCGCTTTCATTTGGCACCGGACTCCACAAATATCTTGCCAGTCGTAGGAGAACTTATGCGTTTGAGTGCTCACTCTGCGTTGTTCAGTCGCTCAGTCGCGTCCAACTCTTTGCAGCCCCGTGGACTGCAGCATGCCAGGCTTCCCTGTCCTTCACTCTGTAAGTTGCACGAAAGTGGCAGAGCTGCAACTGGACCCCAGGCTGCTTGGGTCCAGAAGCATAGGTCTAGTCTATGTCATTGTGCCTTGTGTGTCCAGAGTGCTAGTGAGACTGGAGAAAAGGTGAAAGAAGAAGAAACATTCATTCTTGGGGACTTTCCTGGTGGTCTCACAGTTAAGAATCTGCCTTGCAAGGAAGAGGATTGATCCCACATGCCACTCAAGCAACTAAGCCTGCAGTGCCTCCACTTATACCTGATGCAGCCAAAAATAGATACATTTTTTGAAAAGAGACATTGTTTCTTTTTCCAGAACACTATTCTCCACCTTGGCCTTTCCTTCCAAATCTGGGTATCAGTGTCATGTCCTAAAGGAGACTTTCCTGGTCTCCAAACTTGAATTACAGCCACCTATTCTTTTACTCTTCCCTATCTTTTAAGGCACTTATCAGAATTTGTTATTATGTATTTGTATGTTTTCCGGTTTTGATGACAATCTGTCTCTAGACTACTCTCTCAGTGAATGCAGAGTTTGGTTCACCCCCTTATCCCCCAGTGGAAATCCTGGTACCTAGTAGGTATTCCATAGATATCAGCTGGAAGGTAAATTCACAGAATATAATGACAGGTCAGATGGGATAGAGAAGCCCCCGAGGATGATGCAGAGATTCCCACTTGAGTGATGCTAATCCTCAAAATGACTGTAAGAAGTTAGGAGTGGTGCTGAAATGAGTAAACGGATTGGGGATGTGTTTGAGAGTTTGAGTGCTTTTCAAGGGGTGTCTTGGAGAAGGCAGTCTTCCACTGACAAGTCCTTCTTCACTCCCTCCCCACTGCTGCCTGGGTTAGGGGGACTACAGCCCCCTGGGCAGACCTCTGCCATCAGGCAACTCTGTGCTCATGCCCCTGGGAGCCTGCCTGTTCCCTAGCCTGGGAAGCTCAGTGGGTCCTGGAACAACTCTGCAGGCCTCATTTCTGGAACATAGGGGCCCCAGGGGTGTGGATGCAGTCAGGTCGGGCTCAGTTAAATGCCAGTGAGAGGAAAAGAGGAAAGGAAGAACTCTGGAGGGAGGCTGGGATGGAGATCAGATCTGGGAACTGGAGTGGAAGGAGATAGAGGGCAAGGTTGGAGCCTCCGGGCCCTGGAGACAAGGTGGACAGAGGCATGCTCCACACTCTCGGGAGACCCGGCACAGGAGCTAAGCGCTTGAGTCACGTAACTGCATTTCATCTTTGCGGCAACACAAGAGCAATCATTATTGCTCTTATTTTGTTAAGAAAACGGAGGCCCAGAGAGGTGACGTGATTTGCCCAAGGTCACACAGCGAGCGAGCTGCGAAGTCTGGGTTTGACCCAAGCCTGCCCTCTGCTCTCTTCATTCCCTGCCTCTTCGGCTCTGCTCTCGGTTTCTCTACCCCTTCTCCCCACCCCTCCGCTTCCTTGGCCGCCCCGCCCCACCTCTCTCTTCCCCTCCTCTCCCCTCCCTTCTCTCTCTCTCCCCTGCCCTCCCTCTCAGCAGCCGCGGCGGCCGAGCCACGTGGTGGGGCCGGGAAACCGCGGCCGCCGAGCGCCCGGGCGGCTGCCCCAGCTGGGCAGTGCTGCTCTGCGCTGCGTCGCGCTCGGTGCCTGCGCTCCCCGTTCCGCGCTCCTCGCCAACCGCCCCGGGGCGGGAGGCGCGCCCGGCAGCGGGGCGCCCAGACAAAGGAGGCGCGGCAAAGCCGGAGCGCGGGCGGACGGACCATGGACTCCGAGCGCGAGCGGCCGGCACCAGCCCTGAGGACCCGGCGCTCCCGGGCCCGGCCCTAAGGCGCCCGGCCCCGCCGCCCGGGGCGCCCAGCGCCGAGGACGCGGAGCCCGCGCGGCACGGAGGAGGCGGCGGCCGCCGAACTAGAGGGGCGCCGCGGCGGTCGGCGCGCGCGGCCCCCGGAGCCATGGGCAAGTGCAGCGGGCGCTGCACGCTGGTCGCCTTCTGCTGCCTGCAGCTGGTGAGCGCCGCGCGCCCGGGCGGCCGGGCCGGGTAGGGTAGGGCGCGGCGGGGCGGGGTCCCGGGGCGAGCCGGTGGGGTGGGTGAGTCTGGGTGTGGGTCTGGGGCGAGCGCCCGGGTTGGGGGTGGTCTGGAGTCACGGAGCGGACGGGCGGAGCCTGCTCCTGCGGGCCCAGCTGTCTCTTTGTGTGCGCCTCTCGCCCGGCGCTCCCCGGTCCCCGAGTGCGTCCTGTGCGCGAGTCCCCGCCCGGCCCGCGCCTGGGGCTCCGCGCGACTGGCCCGCACTGGACGAGTGGCCTCCTGTTGGGGAGATGCGCTGTGGGACTGTGGCTCTCTGGGGCTTGGGGGGTGTGTCCGAGGAGGGTGTGTGGATCCCTTGAGGTCCCTGCCGTGTGTTTTCCTCTAGATCACTCGTTTGCGTGGGTCTCTGCCTCTGGTCTCCGCCCCACTGAGCGTTTCTCACAAACTCTCTGCTCCTGTGTGTGTCTCTCTCCGCGTTTCTCCTTGGTATGTGTCTAGATCTCTGACCATTCCTGGTCCGTGTTCTTCTGTGTGGGGGTATCTTAGACTCCAAGAACCGTTCACTCCTTTGTGCTCTTCCTGCCTGCCTCCACCCTCCTGACTGGGCAGGCCCAAGAGCCCCTCCCTGGAGAGGGTCACAAGGAGCTACTAGGTCCTGGGCCAGCTGACCTACCAGGTGCGGGGCTGCCCTCCCTGCCCTTGGCTGTGACCACCTTAGCGACAGGCATTGTCAGTCTTTCCACCAGAGGGGCGGGGTGTGGGGGGGGAGGGAGCGAGGGTGGGTGGGTGGAGGGGGGGAGACAGGGCTGGCAGGGATGGGAGTGGAGATACTTGGGTGCCCAGGGAGGGTGGGAGTATCTGGGGACACTGTACATAACCCCAGCTCAGGGAAATCAGGTTCTTGTCTCAGGGAAGCCAGGGGAGTGAATTTGGGGGCTGAAGGGGACCAGCTCTGCCCCTCAATACAGACTCTGGCAAGTGAGTTTGGGAAGGTGGTTAAGGAGAGGCCAGGATCTCCTGCCTATGCTAGAGCTGAGGTCTAACCAGTAAAGAGGTCTCATCTGGGTTCCACTTTTGCCTGCATCCATTGCCCTTCCTCCACCACTGGCGTGTACATACAGTAAAGCAGAAGGAAGCTTTGAGTGTGGATATACAGACCCCATTCATCTTCTCTCCTCTTGGAGACCCCAGCCCCAAACACTCCATCTACAGACCTGCCCTTTTGGACAGTGGCCCAAACAGCTGGGCCCTTAAGATTGGAGCCCTGCTCCCAAATGTGGGCTGCAGGGCAAGTGACATCTTGGTCAGCCTCTCTGTGAATTGCTCATCCTTGAGGTTGGCAGGGGGGGATTAATTAAGATCAGGTAGAATGGAAACTCCAGAAGGGCAGAGATTATCTGTTTTGTTCCTGCTAAATCCCCAGCAGCTGGAACAGTGCCTGGCACTCCATTAATATTTGTAAAGTAAATGAGTGAATCAGTTATTTGGCAACTCCTGGCTCCAGTACAAACACCCTTCTTTATCTCCTTTCAGGAACATAAAATTCCAAAAAGTGCTGAAACTTTCCAAGGAATTTTCTTTCTGTGTTAATTTTAAAAATTTAAACTAGGACTTTTTCTTATTAGAGAAGTAACATACAGGGATATCTTGGTGGTCCATTGGCTAAGACTCCTCACTCCCAATGTAGGGGGCCTGGGTTCAAGCCCTGGTTAGGGAATCTAGATCCCACATGTAGCATCTAAGAGTCTGCTTACTGCAACTTAAGATCCACATGCTGCAAAAATAATAATAATAATAATAATAAAAGAGAAAAAGAAAGAAAAGTAACACACATTTTATAAAATGATTAAATCAATAAATAACCAAATGGAGCAGAAGATAAAGACGTTTCCTTCTATGCCCAGTCCCATACCCCAGAGACAAGCACTATTAACAGTTTAACCCATGGTCATTCTCTGTTGTTGATAATAACTGTCCTTAGCTTTGGGGAACAGTTACTAGGTGCTAGGTGCCCTTATAAGCACTTTTCCATGTATTAATTCATTTAATTCTCATAACAATCCTATGAATTTACTGGTCCAGTGTTCTCTAGTTAGGGGCTATGAAGCCAGGCAGCTGACCAGCATCCTCCTTTGCCTTCTTTACTGGAAAATAAGTAGTTCTGGCTGTGATGAGAGGTGCTTACTTCTCTGTAGATAAATGAAGGTGGCAAGGCAGTCTCCCTGCTTCTCTCTTACTTGCCTCTGTAGCTCTCCCCAGCTCAGCTAAACCCACCTTTCCACTTGGAGGGTTCACTAGCATAAGCGGCTCTGGAATCCGACAAGACCTGGGTGGGATTCTGATCCTTCTGAGTCTTAGCTGGATGCCTTTGGGCAGCTTGTGAGCATTCCATGAGATAATCTGAGGATGTGCTCCAAGGAGGGACTTGAAAATTGGTCTCTTGGGTCTGTTGCTCTGTCTGGGCCGATTGCAGAGTGGGTCCCTTCAGCTGTCGCTAATCCCCAGGAGCCTCTGCTGCCTCATCGTCTCGGTAATGTGCTCCTGGGTGGTAGAATTCACCAACCTGACCATCCCAGGGAGAAGGGAGCCTGTTTTCTCATCCAATGGAAAGGGGCAGAGAAGGACGGGGCCATTAAATGTTTCTCAGCTAAAAACTTTTGCAGAGGAACTGTATCATTTTTTTTTCTCATATGGGGTTTGATGATTACAATAAAACTGCCCAGTTCTAAACACTCTTCTGGAGTTGGGTTAGCCTTGCTTTGCGTGAGGGAGTAGGATGTGAGGGTGCACCAGAGGATGGAAGAAGCAGGTGAGGGCTGAACTGTTCGGGTGGACAAGTACAGGGGACAAGCCTCTGGAGTTTGACAGGACAGACATGGGATTGAGTCCTGGCTTCATCACTTCCTAGCTATGTGGTCATAAGCAAGTTGCTTGGCCTCTCTGACTCACATTTTGTCATCTGTTAAATGGAGATGATAGAAACAGTCCCCAAGGGGGCTTCCCTGGTTGTCCAGTGGTTGAAAATCTGCCTTGCAATGCAGGGAAAACCTGTTTGATCCTCGGTCCAGGAAGATCCCACGTGCCGCAAGGCAACTAAGCCTGTGCTCTGGAGCCTGTACCTACCAAGCCTACGTGCTGCAACTACTGAAGCTCCTGCACCCTGGGATCCGTGGAAACTAGAGAAGCCACCGCAATGAGAAGCCTGTGCATCTCAACTAGAGAGTAGCCTCCGCCCTCTGCAACTAGAGAAAGCTCGAGCAGCAACAAAGACCCTGAGCAGCCAAAAATAAATAAATAATATTTAAAAAAAAAGAAAAGAGTGCCCAATCCTTAGGGTTGTTGTGAGGGTTAAATGCATATAGCTTGCACTGTGCCAGGCACAGAATAAGCATTCAATAAACTATAAGTTTTTCTGTTGTTATCTTTTTAGAAAAATTTTTAAATGTATTTTTTTCACTGCACCAGGTCTTCGTTGTTGCACTTGGACTTTCTCTAGTTGCGAAGAGCGGGGCTTACTCTCCAGTTGTGGTGTGTGGGTTTCTTATTGCAGTGGCGTCTCTTGTTGCAGAACACAGGCTCTAGAGCACATGGGCTTCAGTAGTTGTGGCCCACAGGCTTAGTTGCTCCGCAGCATGTGGGATCTTCCCAGACCAGGGATCCGACCTGTGTCCCCTGCATCGGCAGGCAGATTCTTAACCACTGGACACCAGGGAAATCCATATTGTTATTATTTTAATGATGTATATCCTGGGATGCTTCCCCGGAATTGTGACCCAGACATATCCAAGGGCCATCCTGCACTCTTCCTTTGTGGGAAGCAGCACGTAATTGGACACGAAGCTGAGAGTTAGGAGGCCTGGATTCATGTCTTCCTCACTGACATCTGGTGAACTTGGGCAAGTCTTTTCCCTACTGCAAGCCTTGGCTTTTCCTCATCTGTAAAATGGGAAGAACCACTGGTCTGTGTCCCTAGGGTCCTGCTAGTTCTGCCCATCTGGCACACTGGGAGGATGTCTGGACTGGCCTGGAGGTTTCCATGTGTCTCAGTCTGGTTTCACTATGTGGGACATCTTGGGTCCCTTGCTTTCTCCTTACCTGGTGTATCATCTTGACATTATTAATGTTATTCCTAATTTTTGTGTGTTTCCCATTCCCCTCCACTGCCCTTCTTTCCTAGTCCACCTCCTTCCTGAAACCCTGCAGGCTATGCTATTCTTCCAGTAAGGATGAACCAAGGAGATTTACCCAAGGGAATCATCATCAATTTCTTCACCATCGTCATTATCACTCCCATTTCTGGACTCCTGTGCTAAGCACTTTATATGCATTACCTCATTTAACCCAGTGAGCTTACACATGTAACGTACTTGGCAGAGTGCCTAGTGTGTTCAACGATCAATAAACGTAAGCTCTTTTACTGCTTTTATCCTTCTTATTGTTACCCTACAAAATGTGGTAGAGGTTTTTATTAGCCCCTTTTTCTGATGAGGAAACCGAGGCTCAGAGAGGTCTAAGCTAGTCAGTGATGGAACCAAGGTTCATGCGCTCTTTTGCCTGAGCAGAGAGCCACCCTGTCTGCTGTGTCACTCTGCTACTCACGCTTCAGCAGCCTGTGACCTCAGACAGATCTCTTCATGGCGCCAAGCCTCAGTTCCCTTATCTGAAAACTAAAATGGTACTGTTTCAGTAGGATCACGCACATGCCGGGCCCCGTGAGCCGGTGAGTGGTCAGTAATACATCATTGCCATGGTTGTTCTTGTCCCCGCTCTGGGTGACCTTGGACACATGCATTCACTCCTCTGGGCCACAGTGTCTTTCTCTGTCCAAGAGAAAGAGTCATCCTTACCCCTCAGAGTTGGAGAAAGGGCTTAGCCAGCTGCCATGTACATAGTAGGTACTCAAGAAAAACACCAAAAAACGGTTTTATTCTTTTCCCTTCTGGAAAGCTCTTTGCTTTCTGGAAGGTGGTGGATGAGGGG